TCGGAACAGAAGTCCTTCCAACCTAAAAAGAAATATACATCCTTTTTGAGGAGCAGAACACGTACATGTATGTCCCTGAGGGATTTGGCATGACGAGCTCACAAGGACAGCCCGAATGCCAAAATCTGGACTACATACGTGACACATCGCAATTTCTGTGTGAAACTGATCCGCGAAGGCAAGATCACGCATCAGCAGGAGTTAATTAAGCGATTCTGCCCGAACCGCAAACTTCCGTACAGACACGTTAACGGCCTTCAAAAGGTGAAGCGGGGGATTCCAGCACTAGTCAAGGCTGATGGATGTACGCGGTCAGCAATGGAAGCAGCCGATCTCCAACGGCTTCATTACTCCCAAATGTTCCAGCAGGTAACGAGCACAAATATTCTCCCCGTTTCTATTACTCCACCGTCGGGTTTAGACAACATAACCTTCACTGCGGAAGCTGTCTTGAAGAAGTTGTTATCCTTGCGTGTCCACACTTCTCCTGGAGTCGACAACATCCGACCAAAGGCTCTGCAGGCGGTAGCTATTGATCTAGCCGAATCACTGGCTGTTTTCTCTCAGCGATGTCTAGAAGAAAACCATATTCTAGCAGTATGGAAGCAAGGGGTCATCAATCCTATCCATAAAGGAGGTAGCCGCACTGTCCCTACCAACTACCGTCCGATAACCCTATTTCATGTGCTATCCAAAGTTATGGAATCAGTCATCGCAGATGCGCTAATGCAGCATTTGGAAAACCAAAACTCAATAGCCCCAGAGCAATGCGGTTTTCGTCAAAAGCGTGCATGTAATACCAATCTATTAATTCCACGTAATAGCTGGACTAAAGCCGTTGATGATGGAGCAGGAATCGATGTCATCTACCTGGACTTCTCAAAAGCGTTTGATCGCTTAGATCATCGAATTCTTTTTCAGAAACTTCGGAACTACGGCGTCGGCAACCAAAACCTGAGTTACATTAGCAATTTTCTACACGAACGACGGCTAGAGGTGCGTCCGAGAACCACTGTCCGATGCAATTGTTGTGGTGTGTGGTGTACCACAAGGCTCGGTGCTTGGACCTCGTCTATTCTTGGTGTTTAACGATTTGGCGAGATCAATTTCTTCCGGTTTCCTATTTTTCGCTGATGATATTAAGATATGACGAAGGACCAGTGGACCGGACAACCACGAACGGCTCCAGTGCGATCTTAACACGATGTTCAACTGGTCAGTTCAAAAGGTACGTTTTGTAGGCGTTGGCCATCATTGGCCGTTAGAAGACCTGTAGGGAGGAACGTTTAAGGTGATTCCTTGGAAAAATCGCGCTATCAGCGTTATGGCAACGGTGAAGACATAAGCATAGAGCATCATCACAGAGTACTCCATCTCGAACCTCAACTTCGCTGATGACGACGCATTCTCATTTCCATCAATCCTAAGCAATAACGGGGCACATCGTCTATGAATCCTCGGACACCTCAGCCAAATAAAGGCGCGAGGTCCATGAACCTCAAAAGACGAGTAGAACAGGTAGAAGGATTTGCTGACCAACCTGATATGACATGAAATCCCTATTTTACTTATCTTTACCTATTTCTTTCCGTTGTAAAAACACCAAAGAACGGGAAAATTTAACGAAAACCGAAAAACAAAGAAAATCTTTTGAAAGTAAGAGTCACCTTTGACTGCAAGTGACCGCGTTCACCGGTAACTGCCGACGTTGGCTGTCTGCCCACAACTAGTGTACTCACCTCACCTACGTTCTGCTTGCTTTGCATAGCATAAGATAGTGGATGATGAACTGCGATACGAACACTGACGCCTGCGAATGTTCTCTGTTTTTAACACCGTTAAGGGGAGTGGTTGGAGTCCGAATTGATGCTCCTATGGCGACTACATCAAGCTTCACCACCTGGCTTAACGAAGAGCTTTTCGGCGATGGATGATCCTCGGTCAGATCGGAGGGTAGGTCACAGACTCCTTTAGGGTAGAGCTGTGTAGCGACATGGAGATTCCCCCACCTAATTGCAGATTGTTGTGTAAAGCAATGTATAACTGCAGTTTCATTACATGCTCAGGCAAATTAGGCTGTTCGCCTGTTCAGACGCTGATTGAATAATGAATACTACATCATGTGCACAAGTAAACAGTTAAATCCGTACAACTGTCAAAATATGATCAAAAAGGCCAGAGAAACCAGGGAAACTATTTATTATTTGTCAATACTCCCATCGTTTTACAATTTCCCACGTGAGATGGTAAAATACTTATTATTCATAGTAACTTGAGACTCACAAATGTGAGAGATCATTGTCAGTGGGTAATTACTCATAGAAACTAACAGTGGAAAGAGGAAAATCCAATGGAGTTTTGAGCTCTGCACTGAGTTTGCTTTCAACATCTTATTCGAGTGAACTGCTCCAAACGTTGACCACTCGCCGTTTGAAGCCCATGGAGTGGGGAACTCGTTTCAGACCAAGCACCAAAAGCTTATATTGGTGTCCGCGTGAGCTGCACTGTGTTCGCAAATGGAGCACCAGTCTCAGCACGGGGGTCTTCTAGATGAAGAATACGGTAGATCATGGTGAAGTCGACTCGCAACTGAGGGCAGAGTAGGATGTATAGTGCCGATCTATCGCACCAGCATTTGTACGGTAAACCTAGGGACGAATCTGATAGCGAGGTGTTGGACCCGTTCGATCTTCTGCGCCTCTGCTCGGGTTGTCGGATAGTAGGCGAGCGAGCCGTACTCTAGCACTAGTCTTCTGATGAAGTCTGGGTTTGAAACGCGCCCAAATGCCACGAGTTCGCAAGCGACTACGCATTGCATGGATTTATCCCGCTCAGGTGTACATAAAGCGACTGCAGTTCGCTAGTAAACACGTTTATTTGGCCCATCCAATTGTCTGCTGTCGTTGCCATACAGTTGGCCGATTCTCCGCACACTTGTTTCTTTAGCGCACTATTGGCAACGCTACACAACTTAAATTCCAGGTATATGGAACGCGCTGTAGAAAAGCTAAAACAATCGAATTTCCGAAAACAAATTTCCAATTCAATGTAGGCTTTTTCAAAAGGGCCACATATCAATTAGATCTCCCAGACCAGTTAACGAATTCAATAGATGCCGGGTGACTTGTAGTGTGGACTACTTAGATATTCTAGAAGTCCTGGACAGAACACTTTTTCACATTCTTGTCAGCAGCAGCAGCATAGAAGAGCAGTGTCCGCAGATTTGCCGAGAGAGCGACTTCAACATCGTACACATCACAAGTCATTGAATCGGCATCGCCGAAGGCGCAGAGGATGCAAACGCAATCATTGATACCCCAGTCTAGTAAGTTCGGAAGAAGCGAGACGCTGTTGACAGCCTGTAGGCGTGTTTTCAGAAAGAGCATATCAGCTGCGCAGGGGAGTGTACAGTTGCAGCGAGTGCCATCTTTTGATAGATTTCACAAAGTGCGTACACGTTGAAACACCAAATGTGGTGTGTTAATAATGTTAGTAATAGTTGCTTGTTGGTAAATATGAAGAGGAATGAGTACCGTCAACGCTATCTTGTGTGCGGATAAAATAATCTCCGACTACCCATTCGGAGAGGGGGGCTTTGTTCCAAGTGTTCTGCCAGTAGTCTTTAAACCAACACGCAAACCTACAAGCTAATGGGGAAAGTGGAGGTCTGTTTGAGAAGCTCAAACCGGAGCCTTTAGATAAATAGCCTGACTGACAAGGCAGTGGGGAACAAGTTCAGTTCCGGAGTGTGAGTGCAGAGTCCTACTGAGATTCGCTGGGGGCCCATAATACACGATCCATTTATATATATATATATATATATATATATATATTCATGATGCTTCTTCACAGCAGTTGGGCTAAATCAACTTACACTTAAACTAGGTTTTTTAATGTGGATAAAATTCAGTACATTTTATTTGGTCTGTTCTGCGTACTTGATAATCTTCTCCCAACTTGCACACGTCGCTCATGCAAATTGTGGTAAACTTGTGTAATTTTATCGCGCGGTATTTTTTAAATAACTCGGACATTTTGTATTTATCAAGGGGTTTACTTATAACCAAATCCTTCTATATGCTCATTTAGCGAGTATTTAGATCGTCATATGCGTTTACTTCAAACGATATCGACATTTCGAGTGAGTAGCTGTTGTTGACATCCCAGGTGTGGCTGCGCTTGATGTGCATGTTGACAAGGTGCCTACCTGTCTATTACCCACTACCTCGTCCATCTGGCTCCAGAAGACAGTTGGTCGTTGCCGGAGGGGACAGGGTGCACGGTCCTTGTGGTCGTGCTAGGCTCGAAGAGTGGTTCCATGCGTTCAGTGTGGAGCGGACTCCGGTCCAGCCACCGCCTTGTGTACACTTGATTCCCCAAATACAGCGTGCTTGTGTTTGCCTGTGAAGGAGTGTGGGCCGGCTCTGTTGATGAAACGTATCTCCCATCCGCATGCCTCCCGGTCTTATTCCTTCGGGTTTACACTGGATATGGGGTGTGTGGATGGAGCTGTGGGTGGTGCAGCGCAAGCCAACCATGGTCCCTCTGTAGGCGCAGGCGTCCTGTGACTGGCCACAGTGACAGGCACATCCGAAACCGGATGCCGCCAAACATATATATATATATATATATATATATATATATATATATATATATATCCGACAGTAGCATCTTATACACCTGCGAGCACGACCAATCACGTGGGAGTTGGTGAGTCAGTTGACCAAGGGCTGTCTGGTTTGGGGCAAAGCATCAAACACCGGACTATCCTCTCCCACTGTCAGAGACAATGCGTAGCACTCGTGCTCCGCAACAAATGAGCTGAGCCCATTGTCTACTATGGCTCATCATTGACATGAATGGCACTGGATGAATTTAAAAAGTATCACAGAGCGTAGCTCAATGGATCATAGACAGGTAAGTCATCTCACCACAGCAAGGTTCAGCCCTTATGCCATCCGGTGCAACTAGATACAATTGAGCCGTTCTCAGTCAGAAGTGGATATTTAAAAGAATCTGCAAATGATCGACAGTTTATTCTACAAGTCCACTTAAACAGTGTCAAAACACCGAATACTCCTCAGCAATCGAACCTATGTTTCAACGGCATATTCTCGGGGTGTTTCTGCATTAGATAGATCCGGATGGTATAAGAGGTCGTCAAGAAGTTTGTAGAAAACGGAAAGTGGTTGCGTCCTATAAAACACCAGTCAGCCAGAAGCACTTCGCTCATCAGCCGGTCAAGTGGTTAAACTCGATAGACAGGATCATAACCATAGTGCTTCCCATACTTTGAGGAAAACTCGGGAAACAGCTACCCGTCGGTCCCACATGAACTCCGAAGTCGCGATAAAGTTCCGAAAAGGAGAAACGAAAGATTTATGGGGATTTGAACTGGTTGCCTCTGAAGAAAAACAGGACATCAGTCACTGCAATGGATACAGTTGAGGTCAGTTCAGAGTAATGAGAAAATAAAGGAAATGGAAACAGACGTATGGCACTCTCAGGAGGCGTCACCGGATTTGTTCGCTGCAGCACCGTCATAATTCGTGGTGTTCATATCGGTTATTCCAAGATCATCGTCTTCCGCCGGCGTTCGGTCATAGTCGACCACTTCCAGCTCAGGATCCGGATCAGGAGCGTACAAATTCTAGAAAAAAACGAGAAATATAAGTGATTGGCGAAATAACCATGAAATGAGAAAAAATAAATGGGTACTATTCCAACCAACAAGAATATTTGAAATCACACTACACAATTGCCAAAATAACTAAGACGCCTTTCAAATCATGTCAAGCGAACTATTAATGCCGTATAAAAAACTATGTACGGACGAGGAAGCAACTAACATCATTAAAGATAGGAAGTTTATGGAAACCTATCTCGCTGCTGCTGTCACTAAGTTGATAGTTGGGGACGTAGTTCAAACAGTCTCCCTACTACTACTATATAATATAATGATATACCTCCTCCTTGTTGCGGGCCCGTCAAAAATCCCCGCAAAAAACGCGCCAGTAACTCCGGCATAATGGCTGTGGGAAGCGGAGTCCAATTTCTCCCCACAATGCAGCAGTGTTCAGCCACTCCGAGGCGCGTCCCAACTGCGAACCTTTTGACAATGCTCATTTGCAATCTACCACCTCTGCGTGGGGACTGTTTTCCCTAACTTAATAACCCATAGCACTGACTGTGATCGCCCTTTGTCGGTCGTAAAAGAGCCTACAGAGGACCACTTGTCTTTTCTTTCTCTTCGCCTCAGTTGGGAGTCGGTCGGGTCGCGTGATTGCCTGTGAATCGTTAGCTGGCCAGCCTTCGCGCCTAAGTCATTAGCGCGCGTCTATCGTACCCCCTCTCGTGTGCGTCCGTTTTCGAGGCCTCAGCGTCCATACGAACAAGTGCGGCTAAGATCGTTCCCACGCTCGTTCAATTTTCCGTCTCACCGGCTAAGCCAGCGTCATCGTAGGCGTGCTCCAACCGTGCGAGCGACAATCTTGTCACGCAATTACCTCAAGAGGCGGCGTTCCCTCAATTACAACAGTGGCGACAGAGTTGACGAACCATGACTGACGAATACGCAGATTTAAAACTGATGCTGCAACAACAGCTTAAATTGATGTCCGTGCTAACCGAAAAGCTTTCCAGTTCGTCCCTTCATGCAGGTCCGAGCGCCAATTCTCAGTCAGTGGACCAGGTGGTTAGCGGCATCAGCGAATTTCTGTACGACGCCAAGGCCGGGGTAACGTTCGAATCCTGGTACAAGCGGTACGAGGACCTGTTCACCGTTGACTTGGCTCGCCAGGACGACGCGTGGAAGGTCCGCCTGCTTCTGCGCAAACTTGGTACCCTCGAACACCAGCGTTACACCAATTTCATCTTGCCGAGGAACCCACGGGACGTTACCTTTGACGACACGGTCCGAACGTTGTCACAGATTTTTTGCGAGCAGTCCTCTCTGTTCAATGCTCGTTACCAATGTCTGCAGCTGGTCAAACGTGATGCCGACGACTTCATCACGTACGCGGGCATGGTCAACCGTGAATGCCAACGTTTTCAACTTGGCTCGCTCACCGAGGACCAATTCAAATGCCTGATCTTCGTCTCTGGCCTCCAATCTCCACACGATGCCGATATCCAGACGCGCCTCCTGTCCAAGCTACAACAGGATGGATCAGTCACACTCCAGAACCTGGCCGAGGAGTGTCAAACGCTGCTCAACCTGAAACACGACTCTGCAATGATCCAGAACGCCGCCGCACCTGGTATGGTCCAAGCAGTCACAGCACCGAAGGCGCAATCGTCCGCGCGCCCCACCCAATCCGACCGAGCGAAGTCCCCACCCTACGCGTGCCGATTCTGTGGTGCCTGGCATTTCCACCGCGACTGCAAGTTCCGCCAGCATCGTTGTCAACGTTGTGGCAGGGTGGGGCACCGGGATGGTTACTGCCATCCTCCATCTCTCAAGGGGGCCAAAACTGGGCTGGCCCCCACCCGCGATCCAAAGAAGAGGTCCCGACTCAGACGCACACTCAAACCTGGTCCGGTTGGCAGCTCCCTGAGCCTGCTGGCCACGTTCCAAATCAACGCTGCGGATCGGAGAAAGTTCGTCGACGTCTTGATCAATGGTCAGTCGGTCCGATTGCAGTTGGACACTGCGTCGGACATCACAATCATTTCCGAGGATCTCTGGCGATCCCTTGGCAAGCCACCTTTCGAACCGACCTCCCAATCTGCCACCAGCGCCTGTGGTGGTCGCGTGCAGCTAACTGGGCAGCTGCACTGCTCCGTCTCCTTCCGGGGCGCCACGTTCAACGCGATCTGCTACATCACAAAGGCGAAGCTCAACCTGCTTGGTCTCGACTGGCTCGAAACCCTTGGCTTGGCCGATCTTCCTCTTCGGGCCATCTGCAATGCGGTACATTCTCCGAAAGTACCAAACGACCGAACCGCCGACATCATCAGACAGTTCGCCCCGGTATTCCAGGATGGTCTTGGCCGCTGTACACGCACCCGCGCCGCGTTACAGCTTGTACCTGGTGCTCAACCGGTATTCCGTCCCAAAAGGCCTGTCCCATACGCAGCCTTACCCTTGGTCGATGTCGAACTCCAACGTTTGGAAGACATGGGCGTCCTGGTGCCTGGGCAGCGCCGATCGTCGTGGTCAAGAAGCCGAATGGATCCCTCCGCATCTGTGCCGATTTCTCCACTGGTCTCAACGCAGCACTAGAGCCAAATTGCTACCCGCTACCGATCCCAGCCGATCTCTTCACGATACTCAACGGTGGCACCTGTTTCGCTAAAATCGACTTGGCAGACGCCTACCCGCAGATCGAAATCGCCCCTGAGTCACAAGCCCTCCTGACGATCAATACGCATCGTGGTCTTCTCCAGTACACCAGACTCCCATTTGGTGTCAAGACGGCTCCAGCTATTTTCCAACAGACAATGGACGCTATGATCTCTGGTATTCCGGGTACGGCCGCGTACCTGGACGATCTACTCATTGTTGGTCGCACCCCAGAAGAGCTACGAGAACGTCTGGCTGCAGTCCTTCAACGGGTCCAGGAGTACGGGTTCCACCTGAAACCTGAGAAATGCCAGTTCTTCCTTCCGTCGATCAAATACCTTGGTTTCATTTTCGATGCCCATGGCCGTCATCCTGATCCTGAGAACGTCAGAGCCATCCAGCAGATGCCTGCTCCAGCGGATGTGTCACAACTGCGGTCCTTCCTGGGTCTTATCAGCTACTACAGCGCCTTCCTGCCATCGCTACACGATGTTCGAGCCCCGCTCAATCGGTTGTTGCAGAAGGACGTTCCTTGGCACTGGTCCCCCGCATGCGAAAAAGTTTTCGTTCGCCTGAAAGCCATGCTGAGTTCTGATCTACTGTTGACCCATTACGATCCAGCCTTACCGATTTCGGTCGCTGCTGATGCTTCTGCCTACGGGATCGGAGCAGTTCTCTCCCATCGATTCCCAGATGGCTCTGAGAAAGCTGTTATGCACGTCTCTCGCACCCTGACGCCTGCGGAGAACTATGGTCAGATAGAGAAAGAAGCCCTTGCCATTGTCTTTGCCGTCACCAAGTTCCACAAGATGCTGTATGGCCGACGGTTCACGCTACTGACCGATCACAAGCCCCTACTTTCAATCTTCGGTTCAAAGAAGGGCATTCCGGCATACTCGGCTAGTCGACTTCAGCGTTGGGCGGTCATCCTTCTTGGTTACGACTTCGAAATCCGCTAGTGCCGTACCCAGGATTTTGGTAAAGCCGACGGTCTCTCCCGCCACATTTCCAAACATGCCGCAGTAGAAGACACAGTGATTGCCGCTGTAACCGTCGAGGACGACGTTCGTTATCAACTATCGAATGCTATTCGGAGTCTCCCTATCACTGCCGCCGACATACTTCGTGCAACTGCTCAAGACCCTGTCTTGCAGAAAGCCGTCGCTTACGTTCAGACGTGCTGACCAAACACTACCTTGTCTGGGGAACTCAAACAACTGCATCAACGCCGCGACTCCCTTTCCGTGGTCGATTCCTGTCTCATGACTGCAGATCGAGTTGTCGTTCCTTAATGTCTCCGGCAAGCTGTACTCCGCCAGCTCCATTCTGCTCACCCCGGTATGAACAGAATGAAGGCAGTTGCCCGCAGTTATGTGTATTGGCCTGGCATTGACAACGACATTCAAGATTTGGTCCGCCGCTGCTCACGATGTTAACAAGCATCCAAGATGCCACCTCACCAATCACCAGTTCCTTGGCAGCCGCCAGCAAAACCGTGCTCTCGAGTGCACATCGATTACGCTGGTCCCATCGATGGCATTTCCTACCTGGTCATGGTCGACGCCTATTCCAAATGGCCGGAAGTGGTCGCCGTCAACCCACCAACCGCATCCGCCACTCTGGCTTGTCTCCAACGAATCTTCAGTCAACATGGCCTTCCCGAGGTCTTGGTGTCTGACAATGGTACCCAGTTTACGTCTTCCGTCTTCGAAGACTTTTGTCGCCGACACCGCATCGAACACCTCCGCTCACCGCCGTACCATCCCCAATCCAACGGTCAAGCGGAGCGATTTGTCGACACATTCAAGAGGGCGCCTTTGAAATCTCGCGGGGAGGGGACCGTGGATGAGTGTCTTCAAGAGTTTCTGCTCTCGTACCGGTCCACACCGAATCCAGCTACGCCAGGATGCCAGTCACCAGCTGAAGCATTGATGGGCCGCAAGCTACGCACCACAAACGATGCACTCATTCCGACTGAGAAGCCACATACTCAATCTGGTGCCTACAGCAAGCATAAAGAATTCGCCGTCGGAGCCCCAGTCTACGCTCGTGATTACCGAGCAGGTCATCCTCGCTGGATCAAAGCAACAGTGACAGCCAGACGCGGTGACATGCTTCATGATGTCTCCGTAGGTGATGACACTTGGGTTCGCCATCGCAATCAACTTCGTCCGCGCCACGAAGAAACCTCCAAGCCAGCCAGCTATCCCGTGCGCCTGCCGCTGCACATCCTGTTGGATACTTTCGGATTGGCCACACAACGACAGACCACGGTCGAAGCCGCTCAGTCGCCGCCGCATCTCGAGAACCCACCTTGCCGACGAACAGAAAGAATCCGGAGGTCACCAAAATCCCTCCAGGTCAATCCTCGCCAGAAGCGGTACGCTCTCTCTTCAAAGGGAGGTGTTGCGGGCCCGTCAAAAATCCCCGCAAAAAACGCGCCAGTAACTCCGGCATAATGGCTGTGGGAAGCGGAGTCCAATTTCTCCCCACAATGCAGCAGTGTTCAGCCACTCCGAGGCGCGTCCCAACTGCGAACCTTTTGACAATGCTCATTTGCAATCTACCACCTCTGCGTGGGGACTGTTTTCCCTAACTTAATAACCCATAGCACTGACTGTGATCGCCCTTTGTCGGTCGTAAAAGAGCCTACAGAGGACCACTTGTCTTTTTTTTCTCTTCGCCTCAGTTGGGAGTCGGTCGGGTCGCGTGATTGCCTGTGAATCGTTAGCTGGCCAGCCTTCGCGCCTAAGTCATTAGCGCGCGTCTATCGTACCCCCTCTCGTGTGCGTCCGTTTTCGAGGCCTCAGCGTCCATACGAACAAGTGCGGCTAAGATCGTTCCCACGCTCGTTCAATTTTCCGTCTCACCGGCTAAGCCAGCGTCATCGTAGGCGTGCTCCAACCGTGCGAGCGACAATCTTGTCACGCAATTACCTCAAGAGGCGGCGTTCCCTCAATTACAACACTCCTCCTCCTTCTCCTACTACGGCTACTACTACTACTAATAATAATAATAATAATATAATAATAATAATACTGGGTGACCCAGCACATCGTCAAGTCAGAAGCCGGCTTGGGCAGCTGACGCTTCGCCGAGGTTTCTTCTGTAGAAACACGTTATACGCCGGGTGTGACATACAGGAGTAAAGTGGCAAATTTCAACTAAAGAGACGAGCCCAAGATAACCATCCTTATATCGTCCAGCATGTGGATTCTGGATTTGCTCACGATCACACATGCGCGATTCATCAACACTTTGTCCCGCATACGCGTCACAATCTCTCCGACACACGCGCAGAACTTTGCGCCCCTGCATATGCTTTTTGAGTGATATGTCTTGGTTATTCATTGCCACAATTAGTGTCACCGTGCGGTCTCTGACTGGAGCAAGACGATGTATGTGTCCGTCACGTTGAGTGAGCTGGTGTTCGTCGCAGATGTAAGACTACCATCACCGACAAAGAAGTCCTTCTCCTTGTCTTGCAGTGTGTGCCGAGGGCTCGGGAGCATAGGACTACTGGTTTGCGATGACCCTGACACTGTTGACGCGGTGTCTCTTGTGGTGACACTTCGTGAGCGTGATTTATGGCTTTCTGTGGGTGTGAAAATCGTAGAGAAGGAAAGGTGAATCTCGTTCTTTTACAGTTACTAATGCATTAAGGGTTTACGGAGTGTTGTTCAATGGTCCCCCAGCCGGACATTGAAATTCTGATTCTTTTCGTTATTTTCTTTACAGTTGTGCTGAAGCACAATTGTGTCCATTGATGATATTATTTAGTGTGATCTGGTTGGTATCGGCGACTTCAGCAACCAAGTAGATAGTCTTCCTGTCGGTAAATACAATCTTGATTGGGATCAACTTACATTCAGAAGACACACGTTTGTATCGACACTCGGAAACGAGTCGCCTCACCGTTCGTTGCACATTATTCGCTATTTCGTGAGGTTGATTGAGCACAAGTGTATCGTCAGAGAATTTCCCAAAAAGTTTCGCAAGAGTTACTTCCGCAAATCCGAGAGAATTTTCGCATAGTAACGTCACAACTTCAGTCACTTATCGCAAATTCCAACACACGTGGTCATGTTTCAAAAAATGGTCGGTATGACTCGAAAAATCTATGCGGGCTGGCTTAAAAAGTCGTCGTTTGGGTTGGAAAATGTTCAGATTTGGGAAAAATGATATAATTCACAAACGAAAAGTGATTAAATAGGTGCCCGATGTGAGCAAATGGTCGAAAAACTAGCGGCAATAATAGAGCAGACAGAGTAGTCGGAGTATGTAGCAAGTCAAGTTAGCTGCCTTAATTCGTGGTGTTAAAATAAAGAGAAACGCGTACCTGTAGGTAGCTGTTGCCTGCTGGGTCCTTTAATTCGAAAGTCACCCCGAGACGCTGACCGGAAGCGATCTAGACGAGAAGAAAATTGATTTAGAACAACGACACTTTCGTATTGAAAATCTGGTTACACATGAAGCTAGCTTACCGTTTTCAGCTCTTCAATGACAGAAGCCAGTTTCTGAGTCTTTTCATCCTGAGGTGCGCTATCCCCCAACACAAATGGACAAGCACTGGTAAGCTGAAGCAACAAAGTGAGGTGCATTGCATGTGACCTTGAACCGAGAAAAAACGGGGAACGCGAATGATCACGTGTAGGTGCATTGTGACAAAGCAGAAAATGCACTGTATGAGACGATCAGCATCGAATATGAAATGCAACTTGTGAGAAATAGACAACGTTTGCGCAATAAAATGTGTCTGAAAGAGCAACCACCGCGTGTACCAAGTGGTGGTGATAAGCACGGAATTGAATGCGGTTAGGAGAAATGGTCGAATGAAACTGAAGGCTTCTATTACGTAGGTCAAGTAATAAATAATTACTGTCGGCATGATCGAGGTATACTGTTCGGATGCGTGATCAAGAGGACTGAAGTGATTGTTGGAGAACGAGGTGAGGGCTTGCAGTAGTCCGGTCATGTTGAGCGCTCACCACGGTGGGTTCAGTTTCCATGCCTCGTGACAGCATGATAATAATAATAATAATAATAATAATAATAATAATAAATGAACCGCTCAGCACCATTACATCACTCAACAGGCTCCGATGCCTGGGCCGCGTGTTGAGCACATCAGCCCGCCGATTCTCGCGTCTTGTGTTGTTTGCGCGACCGGAGTCGAGATGGAAGAAGAGGAGGGGAGGTCAAACGATGACTTGATTAAGAGGAGTGAAGACCCTCACTTCGAAGTTGGCGTCGGTTGGTGCATCCCGACTGCCGGACTGGGGTCCCAAGGACGACGAACACGTTTGATTGGACAGACTTGCTGATGTGAAGAGTCGGCCCAAATGGCGTTTGTGTTGTGAGTTTCTTTGTCCATTCACATCCACTTTAGCTTCTCACTCCAACAACAATCTCATATCCAACGCATAATATGATATTTAGCAGTAGGTTACTTTTATAATTGTTGTAGCACGTAATGTCTAATATTTTACTTTTTTACACTGCGGCTTAACTAACATGCATCGATGAGGATGATGAGAAGTTCAGTTAGACAAAAGTGCGGTGGATCCCCTCGTCAAGACCCGTTTCGCCAGGGCAACTCTGAGTAACAATGGCAAAAAAAGGAAACCGGACGCAAACAGAATGCAAAGAAAATGGAGCCAAGAGAAAGGTAAATGAGAGTAATCAGGACGCGTCACTAACGATTGGATGCAAGGAACTGAATGCAGCAGCCCCACTGACTGAGCGACTGAGATATGACGGACAGTCTCCAATTACTGACCTAGAACATGGCGAGACCTCCATGCAGGAAGACGACAAACAACAGATTGTGGGGTCAAGCCGCTCGGTTAATGTTTTTCTGCCTCTATGCTAAGTCATCCACTGGCCACCTCATGGTTTCGTCCAACTCGGAGAAACCGATGGCGTAAAATGCACACCGAACCCAATGGGCATACGGAACCTATGATCAGTCAAGCGTTAGCAAACACCAACTGGCGGACTCTGGTATCGCTCATTCGGTGTTCCCACCGGGCCCAGTGGACATTACCATCTAGCGTGATGGAGTAGTTGTACACTGATGCTACATGAAGGACTAGATTGGGTCCCAAACGAAGCGCCTCGATTTTCACGTGACGTAGCCCCTCCTCGTCCCATTGCGCAACACTAAGACCTCCAAGTCTCTGCAACTGGAAGGATTGGCGGCTGCAGGTCAACCAGCCGGTGACTGGAAAGGATGATGCGTCTGCCTTGTAACCCGAGGGTTAACGATTTCAGCCTGCGTAAGAGGTGCGGGTAACCTCGCAGTACCCCCCCCCCCAACCCAACCTTGACAGGTGGTGAGCATGTGGCGGCAAAGCGCACAGAAGACGCAGCAGCGTGCTGCTGATGTCTTACCCTTGCCATCTAGCATGATGGAGTAACCCGTTGAGGTGGGGTCGAGCTAAAGTAAACATTCTAGTGAGGTGACAGATTTCATGCCAACTAGCTAGTGTTCCCACCAGATGTCCGCAATGCGAATCATTAGTGTATTCAATGCGAATTAGCCAAGTCTCTGGTTCATACAGTAACACCGGCATTCATTGACAGACTGATATCCCGCCGTCTCCATAGGTGTTTGAGTCTTTGGCCTTGCCGGTACGTGAAGTGACTTCTCCAGTGATGACACAACTACCAAGGGGAATGGACCGATCCACTATTGGCAAGGTAATGTGCCCGTCCAATGCACAAACAACACTGCACTTTGAAGGCGCAATTCACATGTCAGGGCGCAGCGCTACTTACCAGTCTGTTCAGCAGTGTTGGCATGGCCACCGCGTCAGACCCCAAGGTTTGTCAGTAGATCACATGGCAGAAATTGCTCTCGGGAAGTCTGAAAGATCCGGGTTGTGCAAGAACATTTCAATCCCAGGGTTAAAGAGAAAATGAGATATATCATAACCCTGGTGAACCCTAATTGTCGTGAGGAATTCAGGAGGCAGTTACCCGTAGGTCTTCACACGGCCACAAGAGACACTGTAGAGACTGCAGAATGGAAAGGAGTATTATCGGCGCGCAATCTGGCTGTTACCTCATGGTCCCATTTCCGCTAAAACTGTTTTCTTGTACAAACGTGATCGGTTTGCTTTTATTGCTGCGCATTCGCCTGTCCCATTTAGCATCTCATATGTTGCTGGATAGCTCCAATGAATGCCAGTAACTTTGCTTCTACCAGTATTGTACCCTGAATAAGAGAAGCAGCATTCTCATGCACACATTTCAGTATCGGCTCATCTTGCGTGTTCTCAGTGCGGTCATAAAGTGAGAACGGTTGGTGGTGATACAACATACTCTCAGCTTAGTTCATCTCTACCTGATGAGTCCAAATCAGGACGAAAGCGGTCAATCGTGGAGTGCAGTTTGGAGAGCAGCTCCGGAACCCCATTCCGGATGCAGTCCCAGTGATCGAAATGGCTTAGGTTTGCTTCAAAACAAACTGTAGCTTCAATCTAAATTGCGTAACGCAATCCAGACACTCAGCGAGCACTCCAAGACCCAACACCTGTTCTTTACCTCATGCGTTAGTATGCTTAGTTGCGTTGTTACACATTACTGTGAGCTACTGTTAATGGCTTTGAAGAGAAAATAGGATATGTGTGCATCCGCAAAACGTCGTTCTCCCATTGTGTATTTTTCAGATTAGCGGTCATGGAGGTAGCAGCATTAGAAGGGTAGACACCCAGTCTGCACATGCATCGAACGTAGCCAGATTTGACGTGATATAGGGTAAAGTACCCTGCATGCTGGTATAAGTATAGTATAGAATGATATAGTAACAGCGTGCAGAAATATCTATGAGTGAACAACTGGTCACCTACCTGATCACTAACCGCCAGAAGCAGGCCCTCTAATGTCGTAAAACGCCCGCCTAAAGTGCCACCCATTGATTCCAGATCCAGTTCGGGAATTCGAATGCCTGAGGTCTCCGATATCAATACATCTCTGGATAAGTCGGCCGCATGAGTCAATTTGAGACGGTAAAAGCGTCCCTTCGGGCTGATTCCTCCTGACGCCTTGACCTCACTGTCTTTGTGGCCACATTCGGGACAAACTGTCGCCATGAGCACGATTTGCTTGAAATGTGGAATATCTGTGTGCGAAGAAAAAACAGTAGATTCTCCTATCAAACGGACAAATTAATAATGGTGTTGTGAGGTGAGTACACAGACTGACGGTGTTCCGAACTGTAGTCTTCAGCAGTAGGTACTTCAGAGGCAATGTGTGAATGAAGACAATGGCTATCTGATAATATCAAGTCAACGAGAATGGATTCTTGAAAAATGCAGTTCTTCATGCGGTGAAATGAGCTAGGATGAATGGGGTCTCATCAACGGAGAGGATTGTGGAGAAATCGGTTGCACGCTCGCAACAGTCAGTCAAGGAGAGAGAGCGAGAAGGAGCAATACGGATGTATAGACAATGATCAGTGACATTATTGATCATCCCCGAGCTGCATGGATCAAACAATGAAGAGAAACTGGCCGCCAAATTGGACACATGTGGACTTATGCATTCATGGATTACCAGTTTCATGCAACTCACAACGGGTTTTAAAACGCCCGCGAAAACCAGTAGACTAGCAATGAAGGTCACCCCTATGTGACGGGTTCCATCCTCAGATCAGCCTATCCATATTTGACGAGTCTAAGATTGAATTTTTAACCAGCGTGTCAAATGTTTCCGGAGTACAATGGACTGGTGAGGAAGACGTTTAAGATTCTACTCCTCGCTACGGCTAGTTCTATGCGGATGCAGTGCTGAAAACACACATCACCAACAATGCTGCAATTCGAGGTTTAATTTCACCGCCACCACTGAAAAGCCAAAGTAAAACGACCATTGGTGGGTCTTTGAGTAAATGTCGTGTGTATGGATTTAGACAGTCGATCATAATTGAGGCTACCGTTTGTGATGAAGCAAATTTAAGCCATTTCGATCACCGGGACTGCATCCGGAATGGGGTTTCGGAGCTGCTCTCTCTCAAAGCTGCACTCCACGATTGACCGGTTTCGTCCTGAGTTGCACTCGTCAGGTAGAAGTAGCTTGAGCTGACAGAGGAGTCTAACAGTACCTAAGGGTTCTAGTCTTGGTCACTAGGCCAGAGCTTCACAATAGCACATGACACGACGGTTAGCAATTCATTATTGGGTCTTGGATCACCCTCAGTGTGTCTGGATGGCGACAGGCAATCTCGATTGGGGCCACAGTTTGCTTTGAAGCAAACCTATACCATGTCGATCACTGGGACCGCATGCGAAGTGGAGAGTTTCGGAGCTTCTTTCTCCTGATATCGCACCCCACAGCCGACCGGTTTCGTCCGGATTTGGACTTTAGGCTGAGTAGAATGAGACACTTACGCCTTTGGCCATCAAGTTCTAAAATCGCAGAAATAGGCACATAAGTAAATAAACAAAGTGGAGCGATACATCACTGATGGGAAAAACTGTCTTACATTTGGGCGGCTGCGAAAGTGTGCAAGTTGAGCAACCGTATACCACAGCCTGCTAATGAACTCCAACATGACAACAGAGAACAGTAGGGTTGTATTGTGTTTTTGGGAAGACTGAAACAGACAGCCGCTATACGTCCACGTAAGTGCTAGACGACCGTTTTGTCCTATTAGGGATCGTTAGTATCGCGCATTCGCCGGATCCCAAACTATGCGCTTGCTCTTACGAGTCAGTGATTGAGACATGCGTGACCGCGGTGCGCCACTATGACAGATTTCTAAGTGCGATATAGCGCCGTTCATCCTCCACTCCGGGTTGGTCCCCAGAACAACGCATGTAGGTTCACAAAGATATACATTGAGTACAAGGGCTAAGCAGAGGCAAAATCAGAGGTCTGTGCGTGTGGAAATTTCAACAGTGCTCGAAAAAGGCCGAAAAGCAAAGGTGTCCGAGGTTTTCTGTTTCTTCGCATCTAACATGTTTCGGGCACCAAATCGCAACTGTTTGGTGTAGTAAATGACTGCTGATGGTCCGGAAGATCGCCAATCTGATGAGACCATTTTTAAGTGCTTAGCCCATGGTAACGACGGTTGGAGCCCTCATCACGGAGATGGAACAGAGAATGTGTCAAAAGGCGCCAGTGAATGAGAGGGAACTCACCGACAAGCTTCATGCGAGTAGTCGACGGAGCGTTGCAATTGGGACAGTTGACGTTAAAATTGAGCACCTCGTCTTCGCCAATCCGGTCGTCAGGTAGAGATGTTTCATGTGTCTGTGAGGTGGATCAATTAGGTGGAAAAAGTTAGATGTGGTCACGTCACTTCATCATGACTGGAAGGAGGATATACCGCATTCTATGTGGTTATATAGCTTTACCGTAAGTGGGTAATCGCAGCGCACCAGAAAAGAGCGGAGTAACCCGCGCTGATGGAGTCAAAAGCCTGGGCTTTTTGCGAGTACCTCCAGCGAAAGCGATCATTGTTGGCTCTTTAGGGAACTTAAACTGGCGTTCAATATTTGAATTTGATAGTGAAAATAGGGTACGGTAGTTGTTTGAAACAGTGGGGAACGTGGAAACGCAAGAAGTGGTAGGCGCATAAGTGCTCCACTTTATGATCAGGGTCAGTGACAAAAAAACACACACACAAGGACTGTGGTGCAGAACACATTCCCATGGCAGTCCAAGGCGACAATCGGGTGAACATGACCCAGTCGGGTGACATGAGTAATAAACGAATCAAAGTAACGACAAAGTTCGACACAGGAATTTACCGCCGTATGACCGGCCAATTTGTGGTAGACCTGAATTGTTTGAGTGAACAACCGATCGCTCTAAAGCCCATGTTCAATAGAAGAGAGTACAAGCCAACCCTATCAATCTGGATGTATGACTAGGTGATCCATGTAACACAAAAAAGAACGCCTTCGAGATGCCGACATGTTCGCCGAGTTTGGAAGGTTTGTTGCAAATGTTTCGTCGTATATTACAAGAAGAACTGCAAGCGGTACGCTCAGTGAACACTTGTTTTCGATTTATTTATCATCAGGCTTGGTACAGAAATATACGCTAAAAAGAAGAGTTCATTAGGGAAACTGAGAGCAACTATTGATTGAACAAACATGTTAAATAGTTAAAGTAACGTGTCATGTGGTCAAGTGGTTGAAGGCATGCGACACCACTGAGCATGGTCTGATCCATCTGTGTTAGTGGCTTGCTCGTAAGGCTAGCCATTGTCCTCTGCACAGTTCGTAACTGACATGGCAGTGCAAGATGAGTCGGGCTATAACATAGTCAACTGTCAATCACGCAGGTCTAAGGCTGTCACCCATGGCGAAGTGGCACTAGCTGCTGGCATCCTGAAGTCGTGGGGGCGGAATCCGGAAGGGGTCCGCTAGGATGCGCACCACTTGCGAGACCCGGAAGGTCGAAACGCCGGCGTCTGTTGCTTTTCCAGACTATCTTAAGCCTGCTGATTGGGAGTGGCGATGATGAATAAAGTAGTTATAAATGCTTGGACATGCTTTTTCTGAATGCATAGCTTAGGTGTTGTCAACCTGATGCATACCGCTTCAGAGATATCAAGTAGCCGAGCCCCTGACCGATAGTGTAGTTGCGATGGCACTCGATAGAAGATCTCAAATGACTTGCGCTTATCAATCAGATGACCGGTGCAATCAGATGGTTAGTTGTGGCACAACTTAGTTTTGTTCATGTTGCGCGCCCGTCAAATATCTCCGCAAAAACGCGCCACAAACTCCGGCGTGATGGCTGTGGAAAGCGGAGTCCAATTCCTCGCCACGTAGCAGATTTCAGCCGCTCCAAGACGCCGCACAACTGCGAACCAGTTGACAATGTGCTTTTACAAAGTACCACCCCGTCGTGGTAGCTATTTTCCCTAACTTAATGACCCATAGTATTGGCTGTGATTCGTTGGTCGTAAAAGAGCCTTCAGAGGACCACTTGTCTTGCTTCCTCTTCGCCGTAGTTGGGACTCGGTCGGGTTAGGTGATTTTGTGTGCGTTGATAGCCCAGCAACGTTCGCGTCTAAGCCCTTAACGCGTAGCCTCGTCCGTTACGAGGGCTCAGCGTCAACCTGAATATACGTGCGGCTAGGAACGTTCTCACGCTCGGTGAATTTTCCGTCTCAGCAGCGCTTACCACGGGCTAAGCTAACCCCATCATGTCAGCGCAAATCCGTTCGATTGGCCAGCATTCCAAATGGTTATCGTAGACGTGCTCCAACCGTGCCAGTGACAATTTTATCAGGAATCTGGCAATCTTAACAGCCTTGTAGTGTGACCAGCGACGTTGGTAAATGTTTCTTGATTCGCTTTTCCAAGTGTCTGGTCGTGTGCCCAATGTACCTAGCCTCACAGGTGCAGGTGAACCGGTAGAGTACCATTGTTTGGCGTTGATCAGGCATCCTGCCTTTGAATCTAGAAATAAAGAACGAACTAGTTATAAAAATGACAGTTAGTTGAGCTGCATTAAAGATCTTTCGGCAAGTCTGTATCAGTCGTCTTGTGCATATCTCAGACAGTGTGTCACCCTTAAAGGGAAGTTAGAGAAATAGCTGTTTCTTCTCTACCCTTTGTACTGTTGGTCTGGGGCTACTAGGCTTTATATGAACGCCAATGATTTGTTCTGAATAACCGTTCTCGAGAAACGTTTGCCTGATTCTCTTCGATTCATCTTCAATTGTATTCTCACTACAGATCTTCCGTGCACGATTGGCCAGAGTATGTACCAGTGTTCTTTTACGGCTAATTGGCACAAAACTCCGGAAGTGTGTGTATTGGCCTGTCCAGTACGGCTTTCTATATACTCCTATCTGGATTGATCCGTCTTCTCGTCGCTTTAAGTTTGCATCCAAGAAGTGCATTTGGTTGTCAATTTCTTCTTCAGCTGTGAATGTGGCGTTGGGATGTGCCTTGTTGAAACACTCGACGACATTCTTCCTCTGCTCAATTATACATTCCCATGTCCCATGCTGAGGCTGATGTTGCATTCTTGATGCTTCTTCATCGCAGTTGGGCTAAACCAACTTACACTTAAACTAGGTCATTTTAATGTGGATAAAATTCATTACATGTTATTTGGTTTGTTCTGCGTACTTGATAATCTTCTCCTTACTTGCACACGTCGCTCACGCAAATTGTGGTAAACTTGTGTAATTTTATCGCGCGGTATTTTTTAAATAACTTTCGGATATTTTGTACTCATCACGGATTCACTTATAACCAATTTCTTCTATATGCTCATTTAGCGAGTATTTAGATCGTCATTTGCGTTTACTTCAAACGATATCGACATTTCGAGTGATTGGCTGTTGTTTGACATCCCCGGTGTGCCTGCGCTTGATGTGCATGTTGACAAGATGCCTAATTGTCTATTACGCACTACCTCGTCCATACTGGCTCCACGAGACAGTTAGTCGTTGCTAGAGGGAACAGGGTGCACGGTCCCTGTGGTTGTGTTAGGCTCGAAGAGTGGTTCCATGCAGTCAGTGTGGAGCGGACTACGGTCCAGCCACCGCCTTGTGTGCACTTGATTCCCCAAATACAGCGTGCTTGTGTTTGCCTGTGAAGGAGTGTGGGCCGGCTCTGTTGATGAAACGTATCTCCCATCCGCATGCCTCCCGGTCTTATTCCTTCGGGTTTACACTGGATATGGGGTGTGTGGATGGAGCTGTGGGTGGTGCAGCGCAAGCCAACCATGGTCCCTCTGTAGGCGCAGGCGTCCTGTGACTGGCCACAGTGACAGGCACATCCGAAACCGGATGCCGCCAAACATATATATATATATATATATATATATATATATATATATATATATATATATATATATAATGTCTGCGACGAATTTTGCGCATCGGTTGGGGCGACAGAGTTGCAGACACGGAAGTGTTGCGCCGAAGTGGGATGTATGCAGTGGACTGCATGCTTTTACTGAGACACCTGAGGTGGCTCGGTCATGTGTGGCGCATGGATTCGACTCGGATACCGAAACAACTCTTATACGGTCAGCTGAGTATTGGGAAGCGGCATGTAAGGGAAACCAAAGTTACGTTACCAGGACATGATCAAAGTGAGCCTCACACGTTCTAATCTTGATTGCAGGTCATGGGAATCGAAAGCGGTTGATCGGCGCATTTGGCGCGATCTCATCACGAAGGCAGTTGCGGGAGAAAGACCGAATGCATGCAAAGAAGAAGCGGCAAGCACAGATGAATTGTATTTCATCGGCATCGAGTACATGGTGCCGTAGCACATGCGGTCGCGAGTGCCTGAGTCAGGCAGGCCTAGTAAGCCATGAGCGAGACCACTCGGGACTACTACCGAAGCGCCGACGGGTTCTGCAGAGAACGTAGGCAGAATCGGCGCAGCGTTTGTAGGTACGCTGCATTCGATTTACTAACCGCGTGCTTGCATGCTAAGTCTCTTTCTTTCAGGTGGTGGGTTTTCAATTTTGCCCTAATGCTTTTCTTTACCATATAAATGCCTAGTTATACTCTCTTCTATACACTTACACACGTCGCATAAGCCACTTGTAGTTATTTCGATAACATTTTCGTGCTTGTAGCATTTCCGTAAAATAAACCTCCTGACCTCGTGAACTTACCTCGTTTTCTTTTGTAAAAGTATTCTTTTGTAAACAACTTAATTCATATGCTCACCGATTTAAGACTTATGTCACCGTTTGCTTGCGTGTTAAGTCTGTTTATTTCTGTAGGTGGGTTTTCAATTTTGTCCCAATGCTTTGCTTTCTCATATAAATGTCTATCCGTACTTTCTTCTACAAACTTGCACACGTCACTTAATCCAATTCTGGTCCTTTTCGAAAACATTTTTGTGTTCGTAGCATTTCCGTAAAGTTTGCCTTCTGACCTCGTGAACTTATCTCGCATTTTTCTGTAAACAACTTATTTCAGATGCTCATTACTTTAGGACATATGTCACTCTTTCCTAGTGAGTCATGAGCGAGGCCACTCGGGACCACTACAGAAGCGACGACGGGTCCTGCAGAGAAGGCAGACAGCACCAGCGCAGCGTTTGTAGGCACGCTGCATTCGATTTACTAACCGCGTGCTTGCATGCTAAGTCTCTTTCTTTCAGGTGGTGGGTTTTCAATTTTGCCTAAATGCTTTCTTTCTCATATAAATGTCTACCTGTACTCTATTCCATTAACGTGCACACTACGCTTAAGCCAATTGTTGTCGATTTCCACAGCATTTTTGTGTTCGAGGTATTCCGTAAAGTATACTTTCTGACCTCGCGAACTTATCTAGGATTCGTTTATAAACAACTTATTACATATGCTCATTAACTTAAGGTTTATGTCACCGTTTCCTTATGCATTAATTGAGTTATTTTCTTGTCTCTCTCTCTCTCTCAAATGATTGGCTGTTGTTTGATATCCCCGGTGTGGCTGCACTTGATGTGCATGTTGACAAGGTGCCTACCTCTCTATTATCCACTATATCGTCCAAACTGGCTCCAGGAGACAGTTGGTCGTTGCTGGAGGGGACGAGGTGCACGGTTCTCGTGGTAATGCTAGGCTCGAAGAGTGGTTCCACGCACTCAGTATGGAGCGGACTACGGTCCAGCCACCGCCTTGTGTGCACTTGATTCCCCAAATACAGCGTGCTTGTGCTTGCCTGTGAAGGAGAGTAGACCGGCTCCGTTGATGAAACGTGGTTCCCATCCGCATGCCTCCCGGTCTTATTCCTTCGGGTTTACACTGGATATGAGGTGTGTGGTTGGAACTGTGGGTGGTGCAGCGCAAGCCAACCATGGTCCATCTTTAGGCGCAGGCGATCTGTGGCTGGCCACAGTGACAGGCACATCCGAAACCGGATGCCGCCAATCATATATATCAGCTAATAGTGGTCCGAGAGGTGGTCCCATCGCTACCCGATCTACTTGTCGGTTCAATTCATTGTTGAATTGGAATTCGATGTTATAAGTGCATCTAAATAATAGCTGCTTTAAGTGGACAGTTGGTATTTCGATCTTTATCTTGTGCTGTTCAATGTATGTGTAAATAAATTTGACTGTTTCTGGAAGTGGGACATTCGTGAACAGAGATATGACGTCCAGAAAAAACATTCGATAGTTTAAGATGTTCATAGTTTTAACGACTCGGAAGAGGTAAGTCTGCCACCTTTATAACCTTGTTATCCTGATGACACGCGTGATCAATTCTACATTCAGCTCTTCCCCGTGATACGGCCTGTGCCGAGGAGCGACCAACTGTTTCTGCTGCGTGATTTCAACTCGCGCGTTGGGCGTGATGTATCAGTGTGAACAGATGTTATCGGTCCGATTGGCATTGGTTCAGCGAATGCGAACGGTGACAGGCTGCTCTCACTGTGCCACACAAAGCCTGACGATCACGAACACTCGGTTTGCACTGAGTACGAGTGATATAGAAACTTGGACGCACCCACGGAGTGGTCACGCTCACCTGCTCGACTATGTCATCGTACGTCAGCGTGATATGTGTGAAGTGCACGGGACACGTGTACTGCGTGGAGCTGAGTGTGGCACCGATCACAAATTGGTGCGGACCAAACTATACATATATTTTCGTAAAGCTATGTATTGCACTCCCGCCGTGAATCGGCGTCGATTTAACATCCTCTCTCGGTACTGTGGCGAAATGTATTGAGCTGGAGAAGGCGATGGCTGCACGCCTGTGTTATGTGGAATGCATAGCCAGAGTGGGCGATTTGTGGCACCACATTCGAGATCAGTTGACAGCCGCTTCCGAGGAGACCATCGGGCGCGCAAACTGTAAGCGGCCTGATTGGTTTGATGACAACAATGCGACGATTGGCGTATTGGTGTCGGAGAAGAAAGCAGCATTTGCGGCACATGTCGCAGACCCCAGTGGCTTGGGGAAGAGCAGTCAGTTTAGCAGAAATCGACGGTGACTGACCCGAGAGCTCGGTCGCATTAAAAACGCATGGTGGACGGAGAAGGCGAGGCAGATGGAATGCTACGCCGAACGCCGCCAACACAATAAATCCTTCGAGTCCTAAAAGACGGTGTATGGGTCGAGATTGGAGCCGCTGAGGACACTGATCGATGGTAGTTCAGGCGCTACCTGCACACAAACTGTAGACATCATGCAAATCTGGCAAAAACACTTGAACTGTCTCTTGAACAACCGTTCAGAGATCGAATGGCCTACATTGAACGGCCTCAAGCAGCACGATATGAAGGCGAAGCTGGCGGAAACGCCGACACTGGATGAGACGCAGAGAGCACTTGCTCAGATGCGAAACGGCAAATGTGCCGGGACCGACGGGATCTTGCCTGAAATACTGAAACGCGGCGGACCTGCGTTGGTGACTGCGCTGCACCACTTGGTGCAACACGTATGGAGTGAGGAGGAGGTGCCTCCTGAGCTGAAGGATGCCCTTGTGCTATCACTGTAGGAGGGCAAAGGGAGCAAGCAACGTGCCACGAATTATCATGGTATCAACTTGCTAAGTTGTGTGGGCAAGGTGATTGCCCGAATTCTGCTCAACCGCCTCGTCAGTCAGGTTGTGAAACCTAACGAGGCGGAAGAGCAATCCGGATTCCGTTCGGGTAGCAGCACTATAGATATGGTGTTTGTGGCTCGTCAGTTGCAGAAGTACAGAGAACGACACCAGCCACTGTACATGTTCACCTAGGGTCAATCTGATGGTCTGTTTCGAGTAGATGTCTGGCGATAGATGATGCTGGCAGCTTAGATACCTTTCCGCGTTCGGCTGCTTGTTGTGTCGATATTTTAGCACTCCGTTTTGGGATATGCTCTTCAATGCGCGTACCCAAGGATCGATCAGTTCTGCAAATGTAACTACTACTGCAGTTACAAAGGAATTGCTAATAAAATGAGTTGTGGCGGAGATCGGTTGAGTAGGTTTCACTGGAGGCATAGGCAACTTCCTGGTCTCCCAAATGGTGCAGAATTCAGCGGCGCTGAATGTCCGACGAATCGCTGTATGCAAACGTTTCCCAAGTTGGGCGGCCACGATATCACCTTTGAAAGGTAATTGAAGGTAGACAGACAGTTTGGGCACAGAAATTACCTTCAGTCTGTTTTCCTTCAGTTGACTGTGAAGTTGAATAAACGCCTCCGGATATCCGTTGGCCCGTAGCGTTTGTGTGATAAACAGTAATTTTGATTCCATACAGTCGTCAGTGCGTATTCTGCAAAACTGTCGGTCTTTCAGCTTTCACCGGAGGTGCAATCTTCAATATTGTCGCAAATCAGCATTGGTGCAGAAGTATTGCAAACCACCTCCAGCTTCTGGTACCTTGGGAGTGTGATGTCGACTGATCAGCAACAACATAGTGAGCTGCGTATCCGCGTCTTGAAGGCAGCAGCGGCATTCGGGAAGCTAAAGTGCTAAATGTGTAGAACAACCATCAGCTTACCATTGGCACGAAGCTGATGGTGTACAAATCTATGGTGCTGTTCGTTCATCTATACGATAGTGAAAAGTGGACGATGTACAGGCGGGATGTGCGATATCTCGAGCGGTGCCATCAACAGTGTTTGCGACGGATTTTGCGCATCGGATGGGGCGACAGAGTTAGGGACCCGAAAGTGTTGCGTCTAAGTGGAATGTATGCAGTGGACTACATACTATTGCAGAGATGGCTCGGTCATGTGAGCCGTATGGATTCGACGCGGATACCGAAAAAACTCTTATATGGCCAGCCGAGTCTTGGGAAATGGGATGCGGGGAAACCAAAGTTATGTTAGCAGGACATGATCAAAGTGAGCCTCTCACGTTCTAATCTTGATTGCAGCTCATGGGAATCGGAGGTGATTGATCGGCGTTCATTGCGCGATCTGATCACGAAGGCAGTTGCGGGAGAAAGACCGAATGCATGCAGAGAAGAAGCGGCAAGTTCGGAAGCGATAAGCACAGATGGGCTGTACTCCATCGACACCGAGCGCATGGTGCTGTAGCAAGTGCGGCCGCGAGTGCCTGAGTCAGGCAGGCCTAGTGAGCCATGAGCGAGGCCACTCGCGACCACCACGGAAGCGACGACGGGTCCTGGAGCGAACGTAGGTAGAACAAGCGCAGCGTTTACAGGTACGCTACATTCGACTTACTAACCGCGTGCTTGCATGCTATTTCTCTCTCTCTGCGGTGACCTAACCACAAGAGAAAGCCATACAACTATTACCAGGATAGGCGATTGGAGGAACAACTCCAGCAGTAACTCGATCATCGCATTGATCCGCTTTGTACTTTCAACAGATGCTACTCAAGTTGGGGGAAGAAATGGTACGTATGAGCTGCTTGGAAAATACAATGGAATAGTCTCAGTCACGTAACGGCGATGCGGTGACAAGCTTGCTGAGATGAAGGCGGAGTAACAAGCATAATTCGAAAGCATTCCACTAGTACACAGGATAAGTGGAAAAAGAGGAAAGATAGACTAAGGAACGATCAGTAAATATGGGATACAGGTTGACACAAGTAACAAGTAAAGCGCCAAACGATCACAGTTTGAAAGCTGATTACTGCATGAATGTTGTAAAAAAACCGCACGGAATAAACATGCTTACCGCATCGGACGACGCGACTACACCATTAGGCGTCTCATCATCAGAATCCGGACGAATTCCTAGAGCAGCGTCTTGCTCCGGTGTTCTCTGATATAAAGTTATCTCAAGTTGAGGATCTTTATCTGGAGCAAGGTAATTTTCAATAAATCCGTTTCCAGAAGGGTCATCCATGATCTGTAATCAGGCGAAGAAAACACGATGATGAAACCTTTCACAATTGCGATACGTGATGCTTTTCGCAAACGAAGTTGAATCATCGAGAAATAGGACTGATGAGATGACTGGCACAACTTGCGTGTTTCTTAGGTACTCTCGGTTCTAAAGAGCAGATGGGTGAATAAGGGTCACACAAACAGGATTTCGACACTAAGTTTAATTCAGCTGATCAACCTTGACCAAAGCACAAAACTGTGGTGGATCCAATAGTTTCGGTTTACTTGGGCAAAGATTACACACGATGGTAATTCGCAAGGGAGATGAACAATATATCAACATCGTCAGATGGAGCAGATACAAGTCAGAAATCAAAAAAGCCTTGAGAAGAAACCAAAAGTCAAGACTCATATAAACTATTCCCTGCAGGGAACAGCCAACGGATCACGATTTAGCTCGGTCAGTGCAGAACGCGACGGCAGAAGCAGTCAGATAGCATACATAGTGTGCCGCCACCAGATCCAACGAGGAGGTACATCAAAGATGGCACTAAACTTAATGAGAACGTTCGTAAATAAGGAATATGTTTTCACAAGTGTTCAAACCCATACCCATTGTCGCATAAGCCCGAATTCACAAATACTTATCAAACGTACGCAACTCCTCAGAGACCTCATTTCACGTAATGAGCAGCCACGGAGCATGGTCAAATTATACGACGTTTTTGCACGGCGAGGACCCTTTTAAACCACATCACAAAAGACAGTGTCGTCAATAACGTCACCAACTGCGCAAGGAGTAAGGGATGTTTATGTGGATATACCAAGGTAAATGAGGTGGGTCAGGTTGACCGAGCATGTAGTAGCTGACTATAGAATTGAAGACTGGTAGCTCAGGTTGTTCAAATGGCGGTTGAACTGTTCGCTGAGCTTGGCAATTTTGTTGTAAACGTTTATTCACCAATCGAGGTGACATCATCAGTGCGTAGTTGAGTGGCTCAACTGCTCACTGATGATGTCGCCTCGATTGGGGACGAAACGTTGGTAACAAAATTGCCAAGCTCAGCGAACAGTTCAACCGCCATATAGTAGCTGCGTTCAACTGCTAAAACATGGAATGAGAGCGTGAGAAGGTGGACACAGTATCCATGACATAGAGCGCAAAATAAATGAGGTGGCAAAAAGCAAGGCATACTCATCTTACAGAAAGGTTGAAAGATGCGAGACACGGGAATCAAAAAACAACTGATTGCACAGACGTGACACACACTAGATGCCATCTCCATCTGCTTGCGTCCGAACAAGCGCATTCAAGTGGAAAAGTGGCAAATACCAATTGGATTGATGCGGTCGCCAATCTTCTCAAACCTGGTGGCCAAACAACCAGAATCGAGAATAAACAAGGTAGACCGAAGAAAAAATTGTGAACAAAGGACAATACAAATAATATAGGCGATGAGGACCAAAGACATTTGGTAAGGCAAGGGAAAATCCCTTATCATGTAGAGTAGTACGCTCTTGACACTTCAGCCAGAAGTGGCAAAAACTGTGCAGTTGTGTCAGTGACAAGATATCAGCAATACAACAGCACGACTACGTGGTGATGTTTCATAGCTGTATAGCGATTGTACGCAGGCTGGAATACTGCGGAGGAGTTAAAACCCATACAAAAGCGTGGAATCGAATCCAGGGCGCAGAGATTGCAAGTTAAACGACTAGTAGTCATGAAACTGTAGTAATCACACAGCAGCAAGCTAAAGGCTTCAACTCAGTCACTTATTAGCAAGTGGGTTCGCCAGAAGCTGTCAATGGCGAAGATAACGTTAACGATTAATCCGTCATGGTTTCAAGAATTTATCCAACTTTCTAGTTGCTATCTACAGAGAAGTCTGAGTTCCATGTGCAAGCAAGCGCACTTTGGTCAGTGTATGGCATGCTCGATCTCTGATAACCTATCGGCTGCTCAATCAAACTAAACATTAAGCAGAAGTCGATCCATTTGCAGCTACATGATCAGTGGCTCGTGGCGGAGCTGTACGCTATCGGGCGCGTCTTCAGGTTGCGGATTCGGGAATACCTTTCTTGCAGGCGAGATGAATAAGCAGTTGCGGACAATCAGCGGGGGCGTCACAGAGCGTGGGGGGTTCTGGGCTAGTCACCTGGTTCTCCAGCAAATTCCACAAGAGCTTGTACGGCGCTGTGTCAAAACCAATGTGACCGGCTTTGGGGTCACTGACGACTCGCTTCTGTAACTGGAGCTAAGTATTTAACAGAGGGCGGATGAACAACCTTACTGGCCACCGGCTTCTCTGTGGACTGAAACCGAACACAAAGAGGGCGAATGAGTAAGCTGTCTGTCAACGGTTTTCGTATTTGCCCCTCTGTCTTGCGGGTTAAGTCTTAAGGACCAAAGGCTCGGGGTGAGGTCAACCCTCTTCCTCGGCAAGGGCCACCGGGAAGCTCTCTGCCCACACAATACATGAATCCTTGCATCCCTTCCCCTGACACTACTCCACCTTTTTGTTGTTGTTACTCATGTGTTGTGGCACTCTGCCAAAGGTTTGTTGGTCAAGTGTTCAGTGGGGGTGTTTGAAGGGACAATTGTGAATCAACCAGGGACTGACCATCGTTCATCGAATTTTCCTTGTTTCTCTCTGACATTCTGACAATGCAAGGTCTGTTCTGGAGAGAAATGATTTTCTGAACAAAGACTAGTCAGCGTAATGAAAATTAACACGGTCTTTGAAGAGATTGCCGTGTAACGATGAACCGAATTTGAAACTACTAACGTTTTTCCATCCTTGATTCGAATAGCAGAAGACTGAGAGATTACTCAGGAGTCGCCGGGTGTTGTCGATGTCACTGCAGCCGAATAGATGGAATGCTAATCCCGGTGCATCAAAAAACTTCAGCCAATCAGGTTATGCCGCCGGATAAGCATTTTCAGCACGAGCAAGGGGCGCCGTTAACATAACATGGCTCTATGCTGCAAATGCAAGTGAATGTACTGAGGGTGGTTTTCGGTACGGCACGTACGCAGGCCCGCTGAACCAGAGACGTTGTGTATGTCATGCTGACAAATAGCATAGCAAAGCTGGTGGTAAAGATGGTTGAACGATTGTGCGAATACAAGGGGCCGAAAGGGTACGTCGGCCATCGCCGTTTTCCAATGTCAAACAGTGGTAGACACAGAATGATGAAGTTGAAGCCCGCGAAGCTCCAGAATAAGGTGTGCTGTTTATGAGCTCCAGGAGAAAAAGTCGGCCGTTTAGCGCCTTATTGAATGTATGGCAGCTGTCTGCATAGAGGTGGCCACAACGAAGCTGCGTGAAAAGGCCAAACGCATCCCAACTTAGTTTTTAAAATGGAGTGCGGCAAAATAAATGCCGTTAGTAGAAGCATCGACGTACGGGTTCGGCTCTGTCCTTTGCAAAGTCAACGACAGTAGAGAATAGGTCAGGCCATATTGCATTTAGTTTATAAGTTAGACAGCCCGCCGCCGTACTCCATGACGCATTGATATAAGTTATTGGTTAGTGGCGCAAGCCACTAGTGATTATGCCTCCGGTTCTTGATGCAGTCAAGGGTGCGCATCACTGAGGGGTCTCTATAGGATGAAACATCCGTGGAAGACTATCCGACTAAGGAACTACTGCAATGGAGGCACAATGAAATTTTCATCAAAAATCCCCTACTAATGTGTATTATAAAAAGGGAAGCAGTAACAATAGACCATATACTGTTGAACCGTCGAACGGATTGGGGTTAAACACAGTAGCAGAAAACAGAATTATCTCGACAATGGCTGGCTTACGAGTGTGAATGGTTTTTCCAATAACAGGAGACCGCGCAATCGTCCCAGGAATGTCTGTAACTTTTCAGCTATATCCGGCTGCTTTAACTGTAGTTCAAAGGGTAGATTGAAACATTCATTAACACAATCCAACCTTTCTTTCTGGTTGCAGTTTCTCAATATTGTCAGCGATGCCCAATATAATACCCTCGATAGTGGATACATCTAAAAGGGAGATCAATGTAGAGATGTGAAAACGATTCGTAATCGTTGGTTTCGAGTTTCAAAAATGTGCAAAAGGAGGATATCGCCCTCTAGTGCTCGGATAAAGGTTTGCAAAGAAACCAACTTAAGCAAGAAATATACCGACAAAATCTTATTCAAATATAAAGCAGATATATTAGAAATAAAAAGGCTGATGACTGATCTAAGTAATGGACGGCTATCATCATCATCATTACATGTCAGCCGAAGGTTAGAAATATATCATCTATTGTGCCACAATAAAAGAAGGTAAAGAAAAAAGCGAATTAGTACAGTACAAAAAACTAAAAAGACACGCAATATAATGCTTAGTATCATACTATCCATGGGATGTGATATCGTGGTCGGAAAGGGGAAGCCAAGCAACAGGGAAAGGGACCAAAAAACTCACATCCAACAGGTCATTGAGGCATGTACACCTAACGAATATCGAGAAATACAAGAACCAACTTTCAACCGTGGCAGTGCTAAAATAGTGTTATGAAAACGAATACCGAAAGCGAGGAGCGCAGAGTAAGTGATGAAGTTGAAAATACGCACAATCTGAGTAGGCCACAGAGACTGTGCAGAATAATCGCGCAATTAACAGAATTAGACTCAAAATGTATACGACACTAGTTATCACATGCAGTTTGTTACGCAGGGACACTTCCTGAATCTCGGTCACATGTAGTCCTGATGATGTGTCCTGATGAATCAAGACAGATGGGTCTCCGAGTTTACATAACACTAGCAAGTGGCAGTATAGCTGGCTGCGGTGTCGAGTTGGTTGGCCAGACGCCACCGGGCCAACAGGGGCTCAAAAGCGCGAGTGTCATCGTGCATCAACGAGGTTGATGAAGTAAGGATACGAAGAGCTAACAGCTAGGCCATAACTGACAACTCTGAAGGTTGTTCGGCCGTAAAACGCCTCGTCAACCGACAACTTGATTAATCAGCGCGTCAAGCAATACACACAAAACCCGTTGTGGCGGTTAAACTGTTCGCTGAGTTTGGCAATTTTGTTGCAAACGCTTCGTAACCAATCGAGGTGACATCATCAGTGACGAAACGTTAGCAACAAAACTGTCAAGCTCAGCGAACAGTTCAACCGCCATCTGAATAACCTGAGCTACCAGTTTTCAATTGTAAAATCCGTTGTCTCTCTCCACCTCTCAGGTAGCTGAGTGTGCCCTATGCCCTGTCGACGAGGGCAATTAGTGGAGAGGAATCTGTAGACTGATATTTAGACAAACTAATTGTGGTAGGTCCCAGGCGGTCAACAAAAAGTTGCCGGAACTATAGGACATTAAAAAACAGTAAGGAACGAACTTCAGCGACAACGCTATAGTCGCAATAGGGAATTTACAAGAACACACTACAGGATGATAAAGTTGATAAAAAGAAAAAATAAACTGCAGAGTAGAAGACACAAAAGCGAGAAATAATAGTGTAATGGTAACCCCATTTCGTCGCTGCCGGTGTACAACATAGTCATTTCTATAGACACTCAATCCACTGACAGCGGATTCATTAAGATAAGGTCGCGATGAACCGGAAGACGTCATACCTTTAGAATTTTGTACCAAAAGACTGAATGTACTTGTAAGCTGCGGCAATCAACCAGTTGTCAAGTCGCGTGCTTATTACCAGTGATCATTATTATTATTTATTATGTGTCAGCTGCACGTCGTAACGGCACTTTGCTGCCGCGCGACCACCACTAGTCGCATGTGGGCTGAGTATGTCGCGAGGACGCCCACCCATACGCGGATATTCACAGTGAATTACGCGATAAACTCGGTTTCCCTGCATTGGCCTTGTTCCGGTGAAAATGTATATCATGTGGTAATGCGAAAACCAGTTAATAGACACAAGCCTCAATTCTGACAGCGATCAAATTAAAAATATTGGGAGCCTCCTAATTCGTATCATAATTAGGCACATACCTCCGTCGGATGTGGGAAATGAGGCGTCCAGCTCAGGTATCTCAATGGACGATCCTGCTGGACGAACTGCACGACGGTTGATATCCTTCTGAGATCGCACGTTTAATACGATGCGCTGCCCCTTTTTCTGAATTCGAGCAGCTGGCTCTAAGGCTCGGTTTTCAAAACCACAATGAGGACAAGAGAAGGAGGATATGATAACTTCCCGAAAGAACGCTATCTTCACGACCAAGAGCCGAGTTGTTCCCTAAACAAGGTAAAAAATGAAATGGCATACATAGTAAAAAAACATTCAAGATGTGAGCGAATAAGTGCATCAACAGAACCCATAGGATGACTGATTTAAAAGTGTAAACAGGTTGACACAATATAGTTAAGTACAATATACGCAGTGCAATTGGCAACTTACAACAGAATTTGTGAACAAATGGAACAAGAAGACGTAGAAAAGAGAAACTGCAATGAATAGTTAGCGTGTTTCAGCCGGGACAACTGACTAAATTTTCTTCGACCCATGCAAGTCGAGTGCCGGTATAATGATAGAGATCTAGGGAGAAGTCCACTGTTACATCATGATTGCGTAGGAAGTGCAGTTTAATTCGGTTAAGTAACTATGATCCGGGCACCGGGGTGCCGGAGGATCCAGTTACCAAGACTCGCCTCACGAGAATAAAAGCAACAAGCAATGGAAAGCAGCGGAATATAACAAACAATTGGCAAGGAAAAAATGAGAAAATTAGTCGGAAAAAGTGCAAACAGTTAGATGCAAGAAGCCCAAAGTAAGAGCGCCACTGATTCAGCGATTGTGCTAACTATCTCGAAGCCCCATCTAGAAGGGGTACACACTGGCTTTATCTATTCTATGGATCAATTGCTTCATGCCTGTGTCACGATATCAACGGAACACATTGCAGATCCGCACAAACAGATGCAGCAATAGCATATAAAGTACAAGGAAAATGCTGACCAAGGGGCATATAGAGGACGACTTAACCAAGGTAAGCGGCGATTAAGTGCAACGCCAGATGTCTTTCCAAAGGGCAAAAGAATTTAAGCACTGCTCACTGGATGCCCCCGTCAGATGTGAGCAATGCCGCGCAAGCATTAGCCATCAGTGAGAAATGATCATGCATTTAATCCGTGTGGTAATGCCGGCCTTATCGCAGCATTGTACACCCACATTCACTAACAGGTTGATATTCAGAGGATTTAGACCTTGAAACGGCACACGAATTTTGCCGATACGGAAATTAACCTTCGTATTACTATGATCACCAGAAGAAATACAGTGATTGTTCAAAAATAACTAGAACCCGGGGGATACAGCCCAGTCGTGTAACAGTGCCTGTAAGATGAAGATGCAAGGGACATACCGTAGCATGCAATGCTACACGTTGATTCATTAAGTAGCAACATCGTTGGGATTTGGGTATGATTAATAGGGTATGGTTAACAGGCTCGATGAGCTGAGGGCATAGAAACAAGGTAAGGTTAATGCATCCCTATAGACGTAGAGCAAAACTTACTGTTTTATAGCAATGAAAGCATACACTTTCAATCTCTGTGACTTCTGGTTGCTCATCAGCTTTTAATTCTGGAATTATAGGCTCTTCCATAAGGATCTACAAAAAGAAAAACAAAACAGAAACAGTAATAATGAGCTGATTGGTTGAAAGCCAAGCTCTTGTGATGATAATGATGGGTATATTTCTCTTTAAATGAGTAGCTGCGTCCATCTATGGCGCAGATCAAATATGTACAGGTAGTACCATGCTCCTGCATGGGTACTATAAATTTGTGGTGAATAAGAAACAAAGATATATCTCTCATCGGTGCGAGGTACAGTCCAAGTGGATATTACGATTCTTGATGTACGGAAAAATCGCAAGGAGCAGATGTTATATTTCTCGAATTTTTCAAAGCAGTCCTCAAGCCTTTTGGCGGACATGGCTAATTGGTCGGTTAAATATTTCGGGAGGATTGTGAGGTTTTAAAAGACAATAAGTGTAGATAAATAAAACGTAGAAGTGAAGTAATACGGCCAGTATTGGGACCGCCTCCTGAGGACCTGCTTCTATGCGGGTTATTCTCTCGATGGGTTTCACTCGCACTTCCATGCCCCATCTCGCCGTGAGCCAGTGTGGCTTTTAAAGCAGGTAAGCCATCATTTATGTAACTCGTCTTTAGGGCCGTTATTTTGTATATCGTGTGGACAGTCAAGCCACCGAGCCCATACCATCAGCTGATCCCTTTGAGTAAGGCACTTTTATCGCCCGGGGAACCAACGGCAATGCGCCTTGCATGGGTATTATTATTAGCGTTGGGAGATTAAATTCCGTCACCTCAGAAGATCGACTCAGTCGTGGTCAAGAGTGAAGTAAAGAAGAGACCGGCCAAATTGTACAGGGGAGACGTCAAAAACGGAGTATCGGAAGTATCGATATGCTACAGTACCGGAAAATATTTTCAGATGCATCATTTGCTTGCGTTCGTAAAGTACAGGAATCGATAGCGTTGAGTAATGAGACTTGTTCTCTGATCCTGGGTTGTCGCCTCCGCGATAGAAAAAGTAATATGTAACATTACAGTAGGAGTGTAAAAATGTAGTCATAAGTAAATAAACGATAGTGCGGGACACGGATCGAAGGGTTAATCGGATCACATTTGTTACTTAATCGTCAAGAAGGGCTGCGTTCAGTCCGATCAGGGTAGTCCAAGTTTGTAGGGTGATATATATATATATATATATATATATATATATATATATATATATATATATATATATATATATCGGCGGGAAAGCCTATAGTGCGCTGAGGCTGGTGGTGGCTAGATCCTGACAGATGGTCTACCCACTGCTGCTACTGTTGTGTCATTTACTCATGTCCTGGGCGCCTTCTCGTGGCGACCGCTGAGAGGAATTTGGGTTTCGCCCTTATCCCTGCTAAGATCCAGGACACCAATCCGCATGAGTCAGTGAACTGACCATTTGCTAGACCCGCTGCCTTTCGGGTGTTCATTTAATCGAAGGCTTTGGCTGAGGACCTGAGTCGTTCACCTGTCAGGTGTGGGCGCCCTCGCAGTATCCTAGTCCATCCTCTTCGGAGGTTAGGAAGTGGTCGATGGCCCTCTTCCCGTAAAACCTAGCCATGGGAGACAACAGGTTACGGGTTATAAGCTCACAGCTCGATTGGCGTAGAGCACGAGTGCCACGCATTGTCTCTGATGGTGGGAGGACACCTCCGGGTGTTCAATGGTTTGCTACTGCCCGCCTCAAGCCAGGCATCCCCTGGTCAAATTGGTGCAAACCCGCCAAAACCCACCTGCGTCTGGTCATGGTCGCAAGTGCGTATCCTACTACAGTCGCAAAACATATAAAACGTTCCAGAACCTCAAAGGCTGCATGTGACGGCCATCAAGCAGATCCCAATCTGTCTCTGCAATCACATTCCCGAGCTGGATCTGCTCCCCACTGCATTGTGGGTCAGGCTATTGAGCCAAAGGCTCCGGGTGGAGTCCTTCAAGCAAACCTCCGAAACACAACGACCACCTCGCGTGCGATTTCCAACAATGCAATCGTATGCCTGCGCGCAAAGCACTCAGCATCGGGTGTTGGAACGTGAGCAAACTACTGGACCGGAACTTCAGCGAGCGCCCGGAGCGACGCACTGCACTCATCGCGATGGAACTGGCGCGCTACAACATCGATATTGCGGCGCTCTGTGAAACCCGGCTCGCTGAGCAAGGTAAGTTGCATGAAGCAGGTGCTGGCTACACATTCTATTGGGTGGGCAACTCCGCCTCAGCACCACGTGATCATGGGGTCGGATTTGCAATATCCGATCGCCTCCATGGCCAGCTGGCGGGTGAACCAACAGGCATCAGCGCACGACTGATGACTGTTCGCCTACGACTCGGAAGAGGTAAGTTTGCTACTTTTATAAGCATGTGTTATCCTGATGACACGCGTGATCAGTTCTACACTGAGTTATCCTCCGTGATACGGCCTGTGCCGAGGAGCGACCGAATATTTCTGCTGGGTGATTTCAACGCGCGCGTTGGGCGTGATGCATCAGTGTGGACAGATGTTATCGGTGCGCATGGCATTGGTTCGGCGAATGCGAACGGTGACAGGCTGCTCTCACGGTGTGCCACTCACCGCCTGACGATCATGAACACTCGGTTTGCACTAAGTGCGAGTGATATAGCAACTTGGAAGCATCCACGGAGTGGTCACGCTCACCTGCTCGACTATCTCATCGTAAATCAGCGTGATATGCGTGAAGTGCGCATAACACGTGTACTGCGTGGAGCTGAGTGTGGCACTGATCACAAGTTGGTGCGGACCAAACTGTACAGATATTTTCGTAAATCTATGTATTGCACTCCCGCCGTGAATCGGCGTAAACTTAACATTCTCTCCCTCGGCACTGTGGCGAAACGTACTGAGCTGGGAAAGGCGATGGCTGCACACCTGTGTTATGTGGACTGCATAGCCCCAGTGGACGACCTGTGGCACCACATTCGCGATCAGGTGACAGCTGCTGCAGAGAAGATCATCGGGCGCGCAAACTGTAAGCGGCCTGATTGGTTTGATGACAACAATGCGACGATCGGCGCATTGGTGTCCGAGAAGAATGTGGCGTTTGCTGCACATGTTGCAGACCCCAGTGACTTGGGAAAGAGTAGTCAGTTTCGCAGAAATCGACGGCGACTGACCCGAGAGCTCCGTCGCATTCAAAATGCATGGTGGACGGAGAAGGCGAAGCAGATGGAATGCTACGCCGAACGCCGTCAACACAATGAATTCTTCGACTCCTTAAAGACGGTGTACGGACCAAAATTGGAGCCACTGAGGACACTGATCGATGGTAGTTCAGGTGCTACCTGCACCCAGACTGCAGATATAATGCAGATCTGGCGGAAACACTTTGATTGTCTCTTGAACAACCGTTCAGAGATCGACTGGCCTACATTGAACGGCCTGAAGCAGCACGATGTGAAGGCGAATCTGGTGGACACGCCGACACTGGATGAGACGCAGAGAGCACTTGCTCAGCTGCGAAACGGCAAGTGTGTCGGAGCAGACGTGATCCCGCCTGAAGTATTGAAACACGGCGGACCTGCGTTGGTGACTGCGCTGCACCACTTGGTGCAACGTGTATGGATTGAGGAGGAGGTGCCTTGTGCTACCACTGTACAAGGGTAAAGGTAGCAAGCAATGTTGCACGAATTATCGTGGCATCAACTTGCTGAGTTGTGTGGGCAAGGTGATTGCCCGAATCCTGCTCAAACGCCTCGTGAGTCAGGTTGTGGAACCAAACGTGGCGGAAGAGCAGTGTGGATTCCGTTCGGGTTGCAGCACTATAGATATGGTGTTTGCGGCTCGTCAGTTGCAAGAGAAGTGCAGAGAACGACACCAGCCTTTGTACTCGCTTTTTGTTGATTTCACCAAGGCATTTGATACGGTTAACCGCGAGGCACTGTGGCTGGTGTTGGGTAAGTTTGGTTGCCCGCGTAAGTTTGTAAGTTTAATTGAATGTCTGCACAGTGGTATGCGAGCGAGGGTGCAGCTGAGTGGAGAGACCTCGGATGACTTTACAGTTGTCTCTGGTGTGAAGCAAGGCTGTGTCTTAGCTCCTGCCCTGTTTAATATCTATCTTCATGCAATGTTGTCCTGTGCTTTTAATGTCGCTTGTGCTTACGGTGTTCTTGTTGAGCACCGTATTGATGGTGGGTTGCTGAACATCCGTCGTTTCGGTGCGGAACTCTAGTCTGTGAGACAACTATCCGTATGTTACTGTTTACTGACGACTGTGCGTTGTTTGCACACAGCGCGGATGAGTTGCAGCACATGACTAGTGCTCTGGCTTCGACATCGGCCAAATTCGGGCTCACCATCAACACAACCAAAACTGTCTGACTCTTTCAGCCTTCACCGGAGGTGCAATCTTCAATATTGCCGCGAATCAGCATTGGTGCTGAAGTATTAGAAACCACCTCCCGCTTTTGCTGAATTGGGAGTGTGACGTCGACTGACCAGCAGCGACACAGTGAGCTGCGTATCCGCGCATCGAAGGCAGCGGCGGCATTCGGGAAGCTTGAGTACCGAGTGTGGAACAACCATCAGCTTACCATTGGCACGAATCTGATGGTGTACAAATCCATGGTGCTGTCCGTTCTTCTATCCGGCAGTGAACCGTGGACGATGTACCGTCGGGATGTGCGATATCTTGAGCGGTTCCATCAGCAGTGTCTGCGACGGATTTTGCGCATCGGTTGCGGCGCCAGAGTTGCAGACACGGAAGTGTTGAGCCGAAGTGGGATGTATGCAGTGGACTGCATAGTTTTACTGAGACACCTGAGATGGCTCGGTCATGTGTGGCGCATGGATTCGACTCGGATACCGAAACAACTCTTATACGGTCAGCTGAGTAGTGGGAAGCGGCACGTGGGGAAACCAAAGTTACGTTACCAGGACATGATCAAAGTGAGCCTCACACGTTCTAATCTTGATTGCAGGTCATGGGAATCGAAAGCAGTTGATCGGCGCGTATGGCGCGATCTCATCACGAAGGCAGTTGCTGAAGTGCGGGAGAAAGACCTCATGCATGCAGAGAAGA